ACGCCTGGGCCTCCCTGGGCCCCCATGCTGGCCACTGTGCATAGTGTTTAGTGCTTTGCACGTACATGCAATGAATCTCTCCAGTAACTCCATCAAGCAGACATACTACTGCTATTCCCTTTTTATAGGGATCCTGAGGTTCATACAGGTTGAGTGACTTGCCCAACAGTAAACGCCATTCGCTTCTGTCACTGTGTTTTGCACTATTTTGCATGAGTCTCCTATGTACCAGGCACCATACTCATAAATGCTGAACATGGATTTGGGCTCTCACCCCTGCAGGGTGACAGTCACTCCTAGGGGAAGGACAAGGCAGTGTCAGTGCCCTGGAGAGCCAATCTAGACCCCGGCCTTCATCACCACCAGCTGGTGGCAGCAGGATGTGGGGCATCTCCAGAGGCTGGCGAATGGCTGGTACCAGGGTCTCATCCACCTGTCCTGACACTGGAGGCTGAACTGGGTCTCTTCCCACTTTTTCTTCCATTCCTACCAGGGCAATGGGATTAGGGAAGAGGCATCCCTCTTTGTCTCTGGGATCCAGGCCCAGCTCCATAACTTCTGGTCTCAGGAATCCCTGGAACCAGTGTCTGCCTGTGGAGCAGCCCTATCTGAGCTGTCACTCAGGGCTGTCCAGCCAGATGGTGCCTACTGTGTCTTAGGCCTAGAGCGTTCAGCTGCCCTCAGGGTCCTGATCCTCACACTCACAGGTGGGCTTCTCCCAGGACCCTCTTTGTAATGGAGAAAGATACGAGCAGAGTCCCCAATCCCTCTCTGTCTTTGCTGACTCTGAGAACATATCTCCAGGCCCAAAGCATTGCCTCTGCTGGAGTGTCCAAGCGAAGGAGCCACCCAAGCCTTGGGATGATATGGAGGATACCCTTTCTCATCTGATCTGGAAAGCAGTGGTGCTCACAGTGACCACCACAGCTAGCCTGAGGTAGATGGCAAACTCCCAGCAGGGCAGAGGTGATGATGGTAGGGAACATCTAGACCAAACAATAAAACGGCCACAGAGGGGCAGCCAGAACAAACGGCTCGGCAGGCTCAGGAGGCAGGGCCTTTCCCATGCCTGCAGTATGGTCATCCTGAGTGGGCATGAGTGATATGGGCAGCGGGCACTGGTCTTTTGGGGAAAGTCTTCTTTTGGGGGTGGGGGTAGTGTGTATTTCCACGTTGCTCCTCTCGACATTCATGGATGTCATTTAAGTACAGACATCCCTTGGGGTGGGGCAAGGGAGGTGTTTGTGTTCAGAGGCTACAATGGGCAGGTCAGGCCAATACACTGCTCAGACAAGGAGCTTACCCTGAGCTGCTCTCTGCAAGGAGACAGATGACTGGCTGGACCCAAGGGCAGCCCCAACTCAGAAACCTGGCAAGGGCTGGGTGTGAAGGGTATGGCCTAATGGGATCTTGGTCCCTGGCTGTGCCAATCAGACCAGTTCTCTCTGGGTCTTGATACAGTACAGAGAGGAGGGATTTGCTACTAGCAAGAAAACAGAGTAAAAAGCAGAGACAAGAGGGGAGGGGGGAAGATTCAGTTTCTGTAGAGTCCCAATGACAAGACCCTGCTGTTAACCCCCTTTTCTTAGCTGGTGGGCACAGATGGCCTCTGTAGTTTTTGCTCCATATTTAAAAGAAAGAGAAGACCAGTGGGACCCCCTGGAGCCAGCAGGGAAGTGCTGGTAGAGACTGAAGCGCAGGAGGCCTGAGATTGTGGCTCACCTGAAGGTCGAAATGAGAATCCACACAGACCCCCATCCCTGCCCCTGCCTCGTCTGCTCAGTGACTGGGCAGGGGCTAGGAAGATACTCGTGGGCCTGTTCAGGGAAGTTAGGTGGATCTGTTTTGGTGGTGGTGGCACCACACCTGTGAACTCTGGCAGCCTGAGTCACCTCCACAGGGCAGGCTGAGGGCCTGAATTGTGCCTGGGAGGAGGGGGCGGGGGGAAGCAGGTGAGATAAGAGCTCCCCAGGGAACCCGGAGATCCTCAGCCCTGCAGGACAGGAGCAACAGCAGGAGCAACCTCAGCAGGTGGGAGTCGGGCCTGGAATGGCTACAGACTGGGACCAGACATCTAAAGGAGAATGTGGGATAGGGCAGGGCAGCTCAGTAGTGGGCTGGGGCCTGGTGGGTTGCAGGTGTTTGCCAGTTCCTAGCACATGCCAGGCTCCTTGATGTCTCAGCCTCATGTAACTCCTGTGGCTTCTACAGGAGTAGCTCAACTGCCAAGCTACTCCAAGAAGGTCCTAGCCATGACCCAGCTGGAGCTGTGTGGCCTGAAGCTGTGCGGATGCTGGGTTGAGGATCAGAGAGCCAGCCCTTCTCTGAGGAAGGGAGGCTCTGGATTCAGGGTATAGGCCAGGCCCAGGAGTCTGAGGCCACAGCCAATTGGCAGACTGGTTGCTGAGGCCATTTGACTCTTTGGGCCCACTTGTGCTCAGACGTGATGGGACTGCAGAAGCAGCCTGTCCCCAAAGCCAGGTGTAGGAGCTGGGACACTCCACCTGTCTCTAGCCCTCTATCTGCATGGCTGCCAACATTCAGGGCTCCCTAAACCTTCTGAGTCTTTTCCAGCCACTGCCCAGGCCCCACCCAAGTTTTTCCCCAGCAGTAGGGCTGCAGGCCAGCCACAACCCCCAGCTCAGGGGCATGGTCTGTGGCAAGGCAACCAGGCCTTCTTCCCTGGAGGTCCTGAGCTGTGGGCACTCCCTGAGCTGGGGGACTGGAGTGAGGGTGAGATGGAACTGGAGAAGCAGAAGAGAGAGAATGAAACCCCTCCGACTACAGGTCCCTGCACCCCAGAGCTCCTGGCCAGCTAGGGTGCCATTCACAATGCACAGCCATCAAATTCCATCACTGCTTCCCGTGTACAGGGGCCATCCCTAAGTAGATCGGAAACTCAAGGGTGGGACAGTTACTTGAAATTCTTTGGCACTCCAGTCCAGAGCGGCAGGTGGGCCCAAATGCACTCTCTGCCCAGTACTTGGTCATAGGCTGAGGGGTAATCCTCACCAACAGGAGCCCCCTAAAGCTCCTGCCTGCCTGTGTGAATAGGGCGGGAGTGGGTGGCCAGACTGGGCAAGGGCTGGGTTCCTATCCAGCCTTCTGCCAGGGCCTGGCTCCTTGCAGCTCTCCCTGGCCTGGCTGGGGAGGGAGGGCAGAGCAGGTGGGGAACTGGCTGGGAGGTGTAACTGGAGCCCAGGAGGAATTCCCTGCCCTTCCTCTATGCTTTTATTAAAATAGGGCGGGGAAAGGCAAGCTTCCATCGGAAAAATCTCCCAGGCAGCCCGGGGAGGTGGGAAAGCCGCCGCGGGCCGGGGAGGGAGCACCAGCCCAGCTGCAAATAGAAACGGTGCTCAGGCCCGCAGCCCGGGCAGCCCAAGGGCACCAAGGCCCGAACTCGGTGCAGAGGAGGCGCCGGGCTGCTTCTTTCTCCCTACTCCCCGGCCAATCCTCTCCCTGCTTATCTGGGACAGGGAGCAGGGTCTTAGACATCGGGGAAGAGCGGACCCTGCTCTTACTCTGGAGCAACAGAGCTGGTGCCTTCAATGTCCACGCTCGGGAGACACCCTGGAGCTGGCGCACTGGCTGGACCCGGCTCTGCGCCGGGATGCCGCGCCTGGTCACCCACGGGACCTAGCCAAAGCGGAGCCCCAGGAGTGACGCCAGGCGGGTTCCTGGCGAAAAGAGGCTCGGAGTCCACCCTTTCCAACCCGGGTTTCGGCGTAGGGGCGCTGTTGGAGGAAGCGCTGTGGGAGGCAGGGTCTGTCCTTAGGACCCCGCCCGGGTGTGGCTAGGCTTCCTGACAAGAGCGCAAGAAAGTCGCCGAAGCGCCCCCGCAACCCCAGTCCGCTGCCTCAGCTGTTTGCACCCCTCCCCCCGATCCCGGCCCGCCGGCACGTACGTTTCGGTATCACCCAGACTGGAGGCCACCTGGGCGGAAGCGCTGTTACCCAGTTGCCCAGCTCCTGCTCCGCCGGTGGATGCCCCCGAGAGCAGCCCCCTCCCCACTCGCAAAGAGCGCCGCTGCGCGCCAGCCAGGCTCTCGAGGAATCGGCTGCCCGGGAGGGAAGGAAGGAGGGGAGGCAAGAGCTGGGGGCCGCGGAAGCGGTTCCTGGGACACAGGCCGAAAGTGGGGGGTCGGGGTGGAGGGTTCAGTTCCCATAACAGGGCTGTAAGAGTAGGGGTAGGTGCGAGCTCTGCGCCCTCCAGGGTTTGGGAAGAGGTGAGCTGCAGAGGGAGAGCTGGGGAAGGGCAGCCTGCCAGGTCCCCTTTCTTCCCCGCCAGGCCCAGAACAGGGGGCAACGTCTCCGCTCCTTCCACCTCCATGCCCCAGTCTGCTGGCGTGTATCCTCTCCGTCCAAGCCCCCAGCCCGCAGCCAAAGGGCAGGGCGGGGGTCCTTACCTCGGCAAGGATCTCAGCGTCTTCGGCCGCTACGCCAAGGCCCAGGCAGCCCAGAAGCACCAGGAGCAGCGGCAGCAGTCGCGGTCGCGCCGCCGCCTCCCTGTCGCCGAGGAGGCTGCCCGTCCAGCCAGGCCGTCCGGGCGCGCTCCGGTCGCTGCCCATGCTCTCGGCGCCCAGCCCCGCCCGAACACTGCACGCGGGGCTCGCTAGCTCGCCGGCGCCGGGTCCTCGTACTCGCCTTGGAAACTTGCGACGCTCCCTGGCTTCTGGCCCGGCTGGCGCGCGGAGGACCTCGGGCTCCGCTCCCCGCCAGAGCCGCCAAGGTCCCCTCGGCAAATTCCCAAGCCCGAGGAGAAGCGGGCAGGGCAGGTCCGGGCGCACGGAACCAGGTGGGGGGCGAGAGGGCTGGCCGGAGGTGCCCCCCGCGGGGTCCCGCAGCCTCGGCGCCCAGCGCCTGGGGCCCGGCTCCCGAGAGCGAGCGCAACTCCGGAGCCTTTGTCTGGCTCAGCGCTCCGGCCGCCCGGTCCCGCGGCGCCCCCTGCGCGCCCAGCTCCCTCTGTCCATGCCCGAGGCCGGGCGCTGCCCGGAGCGCGCGCCTCCTGCTAGGGGACTATGCTCGCCGCTGCGCCCGACCGGGCCCGGGTCCCCAGGCAGTCCCGGGAGGAGGCGCAGGGAGTCGACCCAAGAGAGCGAGCGACCGAGCGAGCAAGCCAAGGAGCGGGCGCCCGACGTCCCCGGCGAGTTCGGCGCGGCTCCGAGCGCTCCCAGCCCTCCTCCCCGCGCGCCGCGGCCGCCGCGCTCTTAAAGGGCCAGTGCGCTCCCAGAGCGCAGACCCGGGGCGAGGGTGGGGGGCCGGGGACGGTGTCCCACCCCGAGGCTTCTCAAGAGCAGGTGCGGGCGGCGGAGGCCCAGCAGGTGGGTCGCCCCGTTTACTCTTCCCAGACGGCGGGAAACCTCTCCAGCCCACCCCGGGTCACTCCCAACCCAGCATCTGGGGCAGGGGAGGCGGGGGTGACCGCCAACTCAACCCCCCGCGGAGGGAGGAAGCGGAGAAGGCGTGGTCTCCCTGCTTGGGAGGAATGAAGACTCCTCCTTCTCCTACCTGGTAGTTAGGGGGATACTGAGGCCGAGGGGGACGGGAAGGAGGTCTTAGGGGAGGGACCAGAGTCCAGTTTTAGGCTTAAAAAAAATCTATATATGGAAATTTGTCAGCCTAAAACCCTTTTCAAAAGCCCTGGGGTGTCTCTGGCCCTTGAGTAACTTTCCTCAGTAGCAAAGTGAGGGTTTTGTGCGCGTCTAGGGCGCGTTGCGGCGGACAAGGGGCAGGTTTAGCAGGGACACGGTTCAAGTTCCGGGTCCGCCCCTTAGCTGCAGCTCGCACGTGGGCAAATTAATCTCTCGAGCCTCCATGTTCTTATCGGGAACAGGGGGCAAAGAGTTGGGGTTAGGGCGAGGTAAGGCTTCCGGTTCCTGGCCTGGCGCAATAGGTGCCCAAGCTCTTTGGCCACTGGCTGGTGCGAGTGAAGTGCGACAGTATCGCCCGACGCGGCGCGGGGCGGGTGGACACACCTCCCTGCAAAGCCTAACGAGCTGGCTTTCATTCTATTACGGAAGCAGCTTGAGGTCGCGGCGGGGTGGATGCAGGAGGTCAGAGCTAGGAGGCCCGGGTCGAAGGTCTGCCGAGACCCGGGGGCCAGGCCAAGGGCAGGCCTGGCGCGGCAGACTGGCCGGAGGGGTCAGTGGGTGAGGGCGGCTGGCAGGAGGGCGGAGACCGCATTCCTTATCTTCAGACCCGGAAATGGAAGGTGTCCTTACCTGAGGGCGGTTTTCTCTAGAGCAGGCCCTCCGGGTATCCCAGTCAGCCTCACCTTCCGGAAATTGGAAATCAGGAGACCTGGCGGAGAGCCTTAGAGAGGGCGCGTTTTGAACCCTCCTACCAGGCGAAGGTGGAGAGGCTACGGGGATGTCCTTGAGGAAAGGAAGTCAGAGTTTGGAGAAAGGATCCTGGCAATTTCATCATTTCCACGGACTCACTTCTCTGTGGGATCCCTCATCTGGGAAGTGGGTTTCTAAATTCTCCACTTTGAAATTTGCTTTTGGGAAATGTTCAGTGGTCTTCAGACACGGACAACAGGGTTGTCCTTGTTTAACAGACCACATTGCACTCTTTAATGAAATTTAGTACGGATCAGCCAATTAAAAAAAGTTGGAGGCTAGGTGAAGTGGCTCAAGCCTGTAATCCGAGCACTTTGGGAGGCCGAAGCAGGAGGACTGTTTTAGCCCAGTAGTTCAAGACCAGCCTGGGCAAGATGGCAAGACCCCATCTCTACAAAGAATACAAAAATTAGCCAAGCGTGGTGGTGCACACCCGTAGGCCCAGCTACTTGGGAGGCTGAGGTGGGAGGATCACTTGAGTCCAGGAGGTTGAGACTGCAATGAGCTATGATCATGCCACTGCCCTTCAGCCCAGCGGACAGAGCCTGTCCTAAAAAAAAAAAAAAAATAGTTGGGGTTTATGGGGCGAGCTATTGGTAAGAGGAGCCCAGGAATGAATGGAGCAACATTCTTAGAGGCCTGGGTCAGTGAAGTCTGATGATTGTTTTTTCACTGTTGGAGGTTCCTCTCTTGGGGTCCAATCCTGCCTTAAGGAAATGACATCCCCTGTGACCAGATCTTGAAGCTCCCAGTAATTGGTTCTGGCTCCTATAGGTACTTTGGGAATCCAAGGTGGATTTGCACCTACATCCAACACAAGATGGCTGGGTTTCTACCAGGTCTGGCCAGCACCCCAAGCCCAAAAGGACCAGTCAATGGGACCGAGATGTGTGAACTCCAGCCCTTCCATCAAGTAGCTTTAAACCGTATCCACATTTTGCCATTATCTTTCATCTCTACCCTGACACCCCCGCCCACCACCACACACCTTTTTTTCTTGGAGTCTTTTGAATGAAAGCCCAGACATGGTGTTTCAGAGCAGTTTCATTTACAGGTCCCAAAGTGGTGTGAGGGGTTGTAAAAAGCTCTGGATCAGAAGCTAGATCCCTGGGTTTCTGCCTCAGCTCTAATTTACTGGGCAATCCCAGCAAGTTATTCCCCTCTTTGGGTTTGTTTCCTCATTTGCAAAAGGAGAGTTCTGAGGTCTTAGGGGAGGTCTCCTGTTCAGTGAAGGAAGGTTGCCAGTGGGCTGGAACTAGGCCCAGGACACCCCCTCCTCCAGCTGCCCCCTCCAGGGGCCCCTCAGGCGACGCACCCACCCAACGCACCATCAAAGGTGAAGCAGGCCTTGGGACTCTTGGTGCCAAGACAAGGAATAAACAAACAAGCTAAGGTAATTTCCCTCTCCCCTGGAAACAAAGCTGGGGTGGTCTAGAGAGGCACTGGAGAGTGCCAGGTGGAAATTGGCCAAACAGGCGTGAGATGATCATTTCCCTGCCCTGCGGGGAACATCTGAGGACACCCAGGCCAGATGTGTTGATTCTGTACTCTTCCCCAGTGCAATAAAATCCCCATCAAGAGCATTTCTTTGGGCCGGCCTGCCTTGGGGGGACTGCAGCCTGCTCTGGTCTTCCCTCTGTCTCTGGAGTTGTCTCCCCGGTTTCTCCTCTTATGGAGAATCTCCTCTTATGGAAGAGCCCCAGCTGCTTCTGCACTGTCAGCGGGAGCGCTCGCTCCACGCGCTCGCTCTGCTCCAGAGGCACACTCAATGTCTGGGTGCCCGCCAAGTTCCTGCCGCCAGCCGCCTCCTCAGGCCCAGCCTGCCCACCCATCCCCCTCAGCGAGTCTCCTACTTCCTTCCTCCATTGCCACCTTTCATTCTCCATTGAAGACTGGTTATTGATCTTGGCCCATTTCTCAAAGTTGCTGCACTCAGATTCCATCCTCAGGACAGATGGACTCCCCAGCCACATCCTCCCCCAGGGGAATGGCCCAGTCCCTCTTCCTGGGCTTGTTGATGGAGGCCCTACCTCACACCTGCCTCTCCTCCCAACACAAGCCAGTGTCCAAGTTTGTGGAAGTGCCGTGTTGAGGATGGGGATTCTTCAGTGCTCCCTGCCTGCTCACACCCCTCTCCCCCAGCACCGAGAGGGCAGACCTAGTCTGCTTCACCAAGCACCCAGTTCAGGGCCTGGCACAGGACAGGTGTCAGTTAAGTGCAGGCTGCACAGCTAGAATCGCCATGTTGCTTGCAAGCCAGAAAGTATGCCTGGCATCCTCCTCCTCTCCAGAAAAGCCAACCTACTGATGGGTCAGAGTCAGCACATCAGTATGGTGGAGAGCAGGAACGAGGCACAGAATGTGCCTGGGTCTTTCAGTGCAGTGTCTGGGAGGCTGCCCCGGGAAAGGCAGGGTTGCAGGGGCCACAGTGGGAGCCAGGGCAGTAGCCCCGTTTCCCTCAAGCCCTGTGAGCCCACCCAGATGCCAGGCCTGACGACGAGGCGGTGTGTAGGGCTGGATCAGGGCCGCCCCAGCATAGGACCCGAGGTTAGGGCCGAGTATGGCCCTTCCTTGTGGTTTCTCATGTAAGTAGTCACTGGACCTGTTCTGGTAACAGCACACTAGTCATTCCCACCCTGTTTATCTTTCAGGGGGCCACTGGAAGACATGAGAAGGTTCCGGGAAGCACTCAGTGTCACAGCAGAAGGCCTCAGTGTCTGCCTATGCCGGTGAGGGATGCGGGTGGTGACCTCTGCCACACGCCTAACTACCCAGGCTAGATGTGCCATGTGAGAACTCTGTGTGTAGACCTGGCAGGCTGGGTGACCCCTCCCTACCCTCATTTTACCAAAGCGTCATTAATGTCTCTCAAGGCCACCTTGGAAGTCACAGCAGAGACTTCCAAGAGTCCCTCTAAACTGTGAGACACAGCTGGACAGGGTAGGAGAAGAAGAAAGTCATCTTTTCACTGGGTTAAATACAAGTAGTCCAAAAAGATCAAAAATAAAAAATGCAATTTTTATTTGTTCAACATAATTTAAAACTATAACATAAGAAGATTTCTGTATCCATCACCAGAAATACAGAAGACACCTGGAGAGGACTGACTGTTCCTTTGCCAGGGGGAAGGTTTGATGGAAAAACCTGCCTCCACGTTGCCCCTCAGAATGCCTGCAGCTGCAGCGGGTGGGAAGCAGCAGCAGGAGGAGAACCCGGGCTGTGAAAGGCTCCTCTGCCTCTCTGGGAAAGCTGCTGGGGAAGCCAGAGGTCACAGTGCATTGGAGGCCTGGCTTTCAGCCACTGGCCAGGCCAAAATGAAACATCTGCTCGTCTTCCAGGCACCTTGCTGGGGGCAAGTGGAAGAAAGGAGTGGAGAAAACTGAAGCTGGACCACAAATTATCACCCCGTACCTTGGCCCTGAAGTGGCCCCTGCTGGCACAGAAGCAGGGTGGGAGTAAAAGTAAATTAATAAAAGCGACACCATTCAAAGAGAGAGGCTGACAGACCCACTGAAGCACCCCATGTCCTGGCTTGACCAGGAATAAGTCAGGGCATGATGATTTAAAAAACTCTGATCTGAGGCCAATGGCATCGAAATACAAATTGGTGAAGCGGGGGAAGTGGGAGAGGGAGTGAAGGGCTGTTTGTTAGAGGGACTACAGTGGCGATTCTGGCGAGTGTGGGTGGGCTCGCCAGTGACCCCAATATTTTCTTTGCAAAACAATCAGAGTAAGAATTAGGATGCCCAGGCTGCCCTCTACTGGCAGTTACTGGAAAGGGCCACAGCACAGCAGCACCCAACCAGCAACCCACAACAGCCAAGTGGTGAGAGAGAGGAGAGGGGGAGAAAGAGAAAGGAGAAAGAAGATAGACGAGAGAGAGGGAAATGATCAGCACTCAGGGAGGATGAAGAGGGGCTACACCTCCTGCCAGGCTGAAAGCATGGCTGGGGCCTCCTAGTGGGAGGCTAGAAGCATCTCCATCGATTATAGCACCTCCATCGGGGTTCCTCCGTCTCAGCCTGGCCTGCAGAGGGGCTTGGAGGAGGAAGACCTCTGGTGCTCACTTCAAAGGCATCGAGAAGAACTTGTTCCCAGACTTGCAGCGGACTTGCTCAGTATGCATGCGCAGCAGCACCTCAGCATCTTCAAACCCATCCACAATTGCCTTAAAACAGCAGCCAGGGAGGACAGTCACATTAAAGGGCATCTGGGACCCAGAGGTTTGCACTGCAAACAAAACCAGCTCACCCAACTTCAGAGGCTGGGCGAGGCTGAGGCTGCAGGCTCCAGGCTCTGCATTGGTTATCTTGTCTGACCACTTCTATAATCTCTGAGGTTGGTCTTATCATCCCAACTGGACAGATGAGGACACAGATCCTCAGAGCCCTGGATTACGGAAACCAATAAAACCAGGCCTGGGACCCAGATCTGCTGGAGCCCAAACTCGAGCTCTGTCACCTCCAGCCACATCAGGCCAAGAGCAAGGCAGCTTCTTAATCAGAGACCACAGCTGCATCCAGCCTGCACATGTTTGGTTTGGCTTGCAAAATGTTTTGTAAACATCCAAATTAGTTGCTGACATTTGGAAACTGACAGATTCCATGTAAAAATCTAGGTTTCTGGCTTCTCTTATAAAGCAGAAGTGCTAGCAACTCTAGGCCTGCCTTCCTGCACGGCCACACTCCCTATGGCCTCCCCGACCAGAGGTGGAGTATCAGCCACCGCTCACCACTTCATGCAAACTCCTCCTAGGGTGCAGATGGGAAAGTGAGATCTTTCAGCTACTTATCAAAATTTGATAGACTCTGGGGGCTGGATGTTCCTTATACCTGGCACATTTTACTGATTTCCAATGCCAGGCCCAAGCCTCTGACCTCTGGGCAAGTAGCTAGGACTTCAGGGGAAGCCTGCAGCCTCTTCGCAGATCAGTGTTTCTAGGGCAGTGCTTCTCAAAATTCCCTAGAGATCTTGTTAAAATGTAATTCTGATTTCTTATGCTTGGCGTGGGACCAGAGATCTGCATTGCTAATAAGCTTCAGGTGATGAAGCTGCCAGTCCAGGGGCACACCTTGAGTCACAAGGGAAGGTGTTGGGGTCTCCTGCCATGTCATTTGTTTCCCAGGGATTCAGGTTTGGGTGCCTCATCCTCCCCACTCCAGCATCTGTCCCGTCATTTCTGGAGTTCAGCATCCTCTGTGCTCCTGCCCTGGGAATTCACCTGTAGTTCCTGCAGGCACTGCCCCTCCAGCTGGAGACGTGCATCACCCACACACCAGGCCAGGCTGAGGTGGAAAGAAGGGTCCTGGAGAGGGAAATTAGAGGCAGGAGGTCACCTGGATGCCTTGGCAGGCCCTGCCATCACAGCAGGTCTGTGACAGAGCTGTCATGACGTCCCTGCTGGATCCCTGTCCTGCCCAGTGGGAGACAAGATTCTCAATGTTGGTCCCAAGCACCCTCCACAGACAGACAAAATAGCCCAGGACTGTCCCATGGACTGAATCGTGCCCCTTCCCCCAAATTCATGTAGCCCTAACCCCTAATATGATAATATGTAAAGTGGGGCCTTTGAGGGGTAATTAGGGTTAGATGATGTCATGAGGGTAGGACCCTCATGATGTGATTAGTGCCCTGTAACCACAGAGAGCTTGGCACACTGGTCTCTCTTCTAGCCCCACTCCTGCCCCACCATGTGAGGACATGGCTAGAAGGCAGCCATCTATAAGCCAGGAAGAACCCTCACCAGAAACCAACCACACTTGGCCAGGCATGGCGGCTCACGCCTGTAATCCTGGCACTTTGGAAGGCCAAGGCAGGCGGATCACCTGAGGTCAGGAGTTTGAGACCAGCCTGGCCAACATGGTGAAACCCTGTCTCTACTAAAAATATAAAAATTAGCTAGGCATAGTGTCATGCACCTGTAGTCCCAGGACTCAGGAGGCTGAGGTAGGAGAATCACTTGAACATGTGAGGCGGAGGTTGCAGTGAGCCGAGATCGCACCACTGCACTCCAGCCTAGGTGGAGACAGAGCAAGACTCCATCTCAAAAAAAAAAAAAAGAAAAAGAAAAAGAAAGACGCCAACTATGCTGTCACCTTGATCTTGGACTTCTAGCCTCCAGAACTGTGCAAAAATAAATTTCTGTTATTTAGGCCACTCAATCGATGGTATTTTGTTATGACAGCCTGAGCTAAGACACTCCTATTCGCAGAGGCTTTCCTTGAAGTGTCATAGAGAGTCATTACATCTGCGACATGAAAGAAAATCCAGGCTCTGACTCTGTTCTGATCTAGGACGTTCCAGTATACACCATACTTTTCAGATGACATGAGCAAAACCCCCAAAGTCCCAAGTTTTGAAGAAACAATACTTGTCTCCATTCAAATTCATACTTATTCACCTCAGCACGGGTTAAGAACATCTATCAAATAAAACTAATGGCCCGAGGCTGGGCGCGGTGGCTCAAGCCTGTAATCCCAGCACTTTGGGAGGCCGAGGCGGGTGGATCACGAGGTCGAGAGATCGAGACCATCCTGGTCAACATGGTGAAACCCCGTCTCTACTAAAAATACTAAAAATTAGCTGGGCATGGTGGCGCGTGCCTGTAATCCCAGCTACTCAGGAGGCTGAGGCAGGAGAATTGCCTGAACCCAGGAGGCGGAGGTTGCAGTGAGCCGAGATCGCGCCATTGCACTCCAGCCTGGGTAACAAGAGCAAAACTCCGTCTCAGGAAAAAAAAAAATGTGAAAACAACATGGGTACATTATGAAGCAGAAGGTACAGATCTCAGGCATATTGAAGACATAAAGCAAGATTTCTAAGAAATGTTGGACTTTGGGTGGGCTGCATCCGACTACCCCTCAAAGCCCTGGCCTCCCAGGGTGTGCGTCCTCTGAAGGCTGGCATTTTTAGCACCCAGACGAGAGCGAGGTTCTGAAGGGTCTTTGGCTAAAGATGGTTTTATTCTCGTTAGAGATGGGTCAATGGAGAAGCAGCAGCCCCATTCATTACCTGGTAGAAAGTGGAAAGGTCGAATTCCTCCATGACTCTGTCCACCTCTGAAACCAGGTCTAGGAACTGGGCATGCCCTGAAGTGACCTCGAGCCCAATAAAGGTCCTGGGGAGAGGAAGACAACACAAGCATGAGATGCAGCCTCTGAGAACACCTGCCTTCTGTGCAGCTGAGGAGGTGCCAGGCAGAAGGCCAGCCAAGAGGCCTGGGCCCTGGGCCTCACCCCGTCTCGCTGGTACGCTGGTTCTCCTGTTCTATGAACCAACTCTCTCAGTTCTCAGATTTCTCTGACTGTAAACCTTCCTTTCCCAGTTCTACACACATCTCTCCTCCCTCCCCTGCATCTAATAACCCTTACAGGAATGCCTTCACCCACCACTGCCAAGTCACAAACCCAGAAGCTTCTGCACCCCATTCCCCATTCTCCATCACTGTTCCAATTGCAAACAACTCCTGTCCTCAAAGAGATCTCTGCTCAAGGACTTTGCTCTCTGGCATCTGCTACCCCTCCCATAAGCACTCAGACTCACTCTCATCTTTAGAAACTCTCCCCTGAAGCCACATCTTCAGCAGTCCCCATCCCATTCTCAGTAAAACTTCTCAAAAGGATGATTTGTCCACCATCGCTATCTCTTTCTCACCTCCCACCTTCAACGCACTTTGCTGGAAGGGCTCTTGTCAAAGTTGCCAACAACCTGCATGTTACCAAATCCAAGG